GGGGACGGTCTCCGCTCTCCGGGGTGAGGTCCAGCCAGGTAACTGCAGCCGGAGCCTCTCTGAGCGCGGCGGGATCTGCCCTGTGCCCCCATCCTCGTGCTGACGGTGGAAATCCACCAAGGCCCCGTGCAGAGTCCTGCACCTCAGACTGCGAAATGGCAAAAGCCGAATTTAAAATGGATGGTTATATTCACTCCATGAGGCAAAGAAAATTCTGAGGCAGACACTTGGTAAGCAAGCAATTACGTGTAACTTGTCAGAACACTCGGGCGTTTTTTAACTGTCTCACTGATTATTTTCTGTTTAACAGACTGGCCAAGAGCCAGAGAGAAAGCTGGCTGGGAACTGAGAGGCATCAGGCGACCTCAGCCCCAACATTTCCATGTAAACGATGATACAAGATGAGCTGGTGGCAGGAGTCCCTGGAAATTCTCACAATCTCAGCTTCTAACTTCCATAAAGTATTATGTCATTTATGATCTCTTTAATAAATCATTTTTTTTCTAATTATAAAAGTGTATATTCTCCTTGGAGGGTGTTTGGTAAATATAAAATGAGTTATAAATGAAAGAAAAATTATTCATAATTTTATCATTCAAATTTTGATAATTATATTCCTGCATTTTTAACTAAACATAGGAATTTTAGATTATGCTGTACGTAAAATGTAGTATATATTCTTTCATCTAGTACTAGATTATAAATGTTTTACATGGAACAAACTATATATATATAAATCAGCTATTTCAACACCTGGATGCTTGATTTAACCCTCCTTATACTGTTAGCCATTTAACTGATTTCTACTTTATCCTATGAATAACTATATCTAGCTCATTATATCACTCATAATCTTGTTGAGCATTTATTTATAATTTAATTGCATATTACCTGAGTGGTTTCTTTTTATATGTTTATATGCTTATTCCAAATATAGTGCTAAGATTAGCGCTAGAGACAGGAAAATATTCACGGGTTTTGAAACTAGAAGGAGCCAAACACAAGTCCGCCATCCAGCTCTGCACACGCTCACCCAGCCTTAGTTTTCTACACAGAAAGAGAAGGCAATGCTGTGTGCCTTGAGGCATCGCTGTGAAGTTAAAGGAGACACCGATTGCACACGCAGCGGTGCACAGACAGTAGGGGCTGGGCCCTTCCAGCTCTAAGGACAATCACCATCAGACGCCCCACAATCCTATTCTCCGGGTGCTCGTATGCCACAGGCCATGTGAGTGACAGTGAACACATTTTTGTTGATTATAAATTATTCCCATACTGTTTTCTTTGTTTTACATGTCCGCAAATCTGTTTTTTAAAAAAGGAGCAATTATGAAATTAAAAGTTAAAGGGGGATGTTTTCATTATCTCTGAAATTTAACCCCCCAAATCCAGATCATAAAGCGAGGAAATGTCTTACGACCCAGCACTTGCCATCAATACTTTTTGGATGTTAGTGGGCAGGGGAGGGTAGTGAAAGTGACGGAATCAGAGCTCCGACGGGTGCGCACTGTCGCCCCTGCAAATCCATTTCTTGTCCAGCCTTCCTTCCTCACTGGGGCTGCTCTATCCTTTTCAGCACATTTGAACTGCTCCCCTGTGGGCCTTTCCCACTGGCTTTACTTCCTAGTCTGAATTCCATGGGACCTGCAGTTAGGAGAGGGGAGTCACTGTGGGACTGTCGAAAATTCACCTCATGGATATGCCTGCCTCCTGCCTCTGCAGTGAGCGGTCTCTGGGTCCCTGGGTGTTCAGTTTCTTTCCACCCATGTGTTACTGACTGTTCAGATGGCAAATGGCCTGTGACCTTTATGGTAATTAAAGGAAAAAAATAAAAAGCTGCGTTTTTAAAAAACTTTTATTTTAGGTTTGGGGGTACATGGGAGGGTTTGCTACACAGGTAAACACGAGTCACAGGGGTTTGTTGTATATATTATTTCATCATCCAGGTATTAAGCCCAGTACCCAATAGTCGTCTTTTCTGCTCCTCTCCCTCCTCCCACCCTCCTGCCTCAAGTAGCCCCCAGTGTCTGTTGTTTCCTTCGTGTTCACAAGTTCTTATCACTTAGCTCCCACTTATAAGTGAGATTGTGCAGTATTTGGTTTTCTGCTACAGCGTTAGTTTGCTAAGGATAATACCCTTCAGCTTCATCCATATTAATTCAAAAGACATAATCTCGTTCTTTTTATGGCTGCATAGTATTCCATGGTATATATATACCACATTTTCTATATCCAATATGTGATTGATGGGAGTTTGGGTTGATTCTGTGTCTTTGCTCTTGCAATTAGTGCTGCAATGGACATTTGCATGCATGTATCTTCATGGCAGAAGGATTTATATTTGTCTGCGTATAGACCCAGTAATGGGATTGCTAGGTCAAATGGTAGTTCTGAGTTTAGCTCTGAGGAATCACCATACTGCTTTCCAGCACGGTTGAACTAACACTCCCACCAACAGTGTACGAGTGCTCACTTTTCTCTGCAACCTTGCCAGCATCTGTTCGTTTTGGACTTTTTAATCACAGCCATTCTGATTGGTGTGAGATGGTGTCTCGCTGTGGTTTTGATTAGTATTTCTCTAGTGGTCAGTGATACAGAGCATTTTTTCATATGCTTGTTTGCCACATTTGTCTTCTTTTAAGAAGTGTCTCTTCATGTCCTGGGACCATTTTTTAATGGGGTTCTTTTCCTCTTGTAAATTTAAGTTCCTTATAGGTGCAGGATATTAGACCTTTGTCAGATGCATAGTTTGCACATATTTTCTCCCGTTCTGTAAGCTGCCCATTTACTTTGTTGATAGTTTCTTTTGCTGTGCAGAAGCTCTTTAGTTTAATTAGATACCACTTCTCAATTTTTGATTTCATTCTGATTGCTTTTGGTGTCTTTGTCATGAAATCTTTGCCTGCTCATAGCCAAGATGGTATTGCCTAGGTTGCCTTCCAGGGTTTTTATGTTTTTGGGTTTTACACTTAAGTCCTGAGTTGATTTTTGTGTGTGGTGTAAGAAAGAGGTCCTGCCTCAATCTTCAGCACATGGCTAGCCAGTTATCCCAGCACCATTTATTCCATAGGGAGTCTTTTCCCCATTGCTTGTTTTTGTCATAAGAGCTGTTTCTAAGTCTTCGCCCATGTACCTTTAACTTTTGACCACATCTTTCCCGCAATCAACAGGCTCCAGGAAATGGGACAGGATTCTGGGAAATAAAGAGTTCGCCCTGAGACAATGCAGGTGAACACAGGCAAGCTGCTACATAATCAGTAACCAAAATGTGTCTTTCCTTAAATATTAAACAATGACAGACTGAGGATGTGAGCATGTTACCATCACAGGTTGGAAGAGCTAACTATGGCTTAAATAGTAGAGCCTCAGATTTTAGAACTGGAAGAGCTGTGGGTTTTAATCCATGCTGGGAGAAGCTCAAGGTTACTCTGGAGAAACATGTAGTTTGGGGAGGCTGGACACTGAGGGGTGGGCTCTTATTTCCCAGCTCTTTCAATTAGTCTGATCTATTTTATAAATCAGGTACTAGAAAATGATTCAAACAACTCAACCCAATTCCCTATTACATGGTCAAAGCCACCAGCCCTCAGGCTTCTTGCTGCTGCAGCTGTGGGCTCCCACTGTCCGTCTGCTCTCCTGCTCAGGTTGGGGCGGCCAATGCCCTTCTCTTACTGTGGAGAGAGGTTAGGGAGGGACCATTTTTTGATTATTTGAGGGTGTGGTTCAGTTGTCAACAGTGTAAGTTTTAGAATTTGTGTTATTGTGATGGTGATGACCAACTGCAAAATATTTCCCATTTGCCTTGCAATAGCAAGAGCATGTATTTTATGCAATTGAAGGTTTTGGATCCTACTTATTTACTTTACTTTATTAAGAATAGTGACATCTGACCAGAGAAGGGTTCTAATTTTGCATCAGAGTCAAAAGTGAAAATGAAAGGAACTGACCCATGAAGGAACAGGTGTGAGCTGTTTACTTCATTCCTGCCCGTCCTGGTTGACATTCAGCTCTGGCCCTGCATGCCACTTTCAAATTTAATGGGTGCCTCACCTAGGAAAGGCCCTCCCCACGCTGGCTCCCTCTGCTCACCCAACTGTACTTGCTTCTCTTAATCCCCTGTGAACACCGTTTTCTAGGTTGGGTGTGTTTTCTGTAATAAAAAGGTATTGTTGCACACTTATTGAGGACTTTATAAATGCCATGCTAAGCATTTCATAGTCATGAGCTCATTGTACAAAATATACTTTATAACATTCCTATGAATTTATATTCCCTGTGAATTGGCCTGAGGAAGTGGCATGCTGGAGAGATTAATTAAATGACAGCACAGTTAATTACTGAGGGGATTTGGGTTTGGACGTGGATCTGCGATTCAAACACTCGTGTCTATAACCACAAGTGTTGCCATATCACTTGCATCAGGATTTTAAAATCCCTACTGGCAGGCCTGGGAAGATGCATTGTAACCAGATGAGAGGTAATCACCACATTTACAGAGTCATGAGAATCTTGCCTGATTGCCCTGGCCAGAACTTCCAATACCATGTTGAAAATGAGTGGTGAGAGAGGGCATCCTTGTCTCGTGCCATTTGGCCACCTTGCCAGCAAAGCCGGGTGAGCTTTTGCTTTCACCTCTCTGGAAGCTTTTCAGATCTTTAGCTCTGATGTTGTCAAATTTCACAACAATGCGCTTTAGTGTAGAAGAACTTTGAAATTCATTTTGAGGGAAACTCAATAGATCTTTTAAATCTGAAAATTCATAAACTTTGTGGAAAATGTTCTTGATTTTTAAGTTGAGATATCCTTTACATACTACATTTTACTCATTTAAAGTGTACAATTTGGCACTTTCTGGAAGTAGCACAGACTTCACCATTATTTAATTCTGAAACATTTTCAGCACCCCAGAAAGAAACACGGTATTTCTCATTTTTCCCTCCTCCAACCACTGGCCAACATTCCTTTTTGAGGCTGCATAGTATTCCATTGTGTGGATATACTTCATATTGTTTATCCGCTCATCAGTTGGTGGACGTTTAAGTTGTTTCCATTTTTGGCTATTACGGATAATGCTGCTATGGAAATCTGCATACAAGTTTTTGTGTGGACATATGTTTTTAATTATCTTCAGTATGAAGACTTCAGTAGAACTGATGGGGGAAAAGAGTATTCCATGTCTTACTTTTTCAGGAACTGCCAGACTGTTTTCCAAAGCAGCTGTATGGTTTAAATCCCATTGATTCTTTTTCTGACATTTTTATTCCTTCGACTTTTCTTTTTTTGTGAAATTCTATTTAACTCTGCAGATGAATCAGGAAAATCAACACAGCTTCTTCAACAAATAAATTACAAGAAAATGATATATAGGAGATATAGGGAAAATGCGTAAATTACATAGACTTAAAAACACATCAGCTATTCACAATATATGAATTTTATTTGGGTATATAAATGGAACAGGAGTGACCATGTGTTTCTGCTTGTTCTGAAGGGTTGTAGATATACAGGGGTTTGTTATATTCATTGTTTACATATATGTTTAAAATTATCCATGTAAGGTTTTAAAAATTTCCTTGGAAGCCTCAC